CACCAAGGCTGCAACAGCCTACAGCTCCGAGCACTAAAACACCATTTTCCCCCCGCTCCTGAATTTCTGATGAAGCTTGAAATTATCATGACTCAGTCATTTCCTTGTTTATGCATCTGTATCTTCAAGGTCAGCACCATCCAGGAATAATATTTGTCAGGCTGCCCAGGCCCCAAGGCCAGCAAGTTGAGGAGAGGACTTGGGTTTGGCTGTTCAAAGCAGGCACAGGGACTCCAGCAGCCCATTTAAAAAAAAACCTCAAAAGAACATTGGTTAAAAATACTCTCAGGTGATGGCTGTGCCTCCAGCTTGGCTCTGGTGACTTGCTGTGGTCTGACAGTCCGTTTCACTTATTTTTAAAAGAAATAGGAGTTTCTCCCTCCAGCCAGACCCACACAAGCAAAAGCAGAAACAAGGACAGAGCTGAATCCGAGTGATGCTTCAGCCCATGCGATTCTGGCCCGTACGAAGTATCTGGCCAGGGGGTTGACACTGGCAAAGGCTTGTCTTAGGGCAGGTGCTGTCAGACAAAGCAGTGCCAAGGGAGCGTGGGTGTGTATAAAAGCTCCCCACTGGTGTGGGACGCTCAGAACAGATGAGGCGGCGCAGGGGAGCACATGGGCAGCGTGGAGCCACCATCCCTCCCCAGCAGCCCCACATTGCTCCCACTTCGAAACGCACATGGAGACTCTCCTGGGTGCACATCATCGCTTTCAGATGCCCCCTTCCTTTTCTCATCGCAGACATGAAAGGACCCTCTGTCCCCCTCCACTGTAACAGGGACACATTCCTCTTCCCAGCCCCCACAAAATGCCTTTCTGTTCCTCCTCCTTACCAAGCAGTCCAGCTGAGCCACAGCCGTCTTGGTGCCCGGCTGCCCCACGTCCCACACCTTCCTGCTGATGGTGACGGCGCAGACCACCTCGCCGTGGGTCAGGGTGTGGAGCTGCCGCGCGTGGCGGGGGATGCCGGAGCCAATGAGGGCATCGGGTGGGAAAGGCACCGGTTGCATCTGCCCGTCGGCGCTGACGTGGAAGGAGTAGGCGCTGGAAGGGAGCAGAAGAGAGGTCTGAACAATCCCTGCGTGATGCCTGAGTGCAGGAGCCGACCTCTCCCATTAGCCACGCTCGAGCCAGGTGGAAGGTGTCTGGTGCATTCTGGCTAATGAGGGATATAATTAACCAGCTCCTTGTTACCACCAGCTGCCTGGAACAAAATGACAGCATTGGACTCAGAAGTGGAGAGAAACTCCAGCCCGGCCCTGCGCCTGCTGGGTGTAGAAATGAGCCGTGGGGAAGGAGACCCCCCGCCCCCCGTGCCCACCCCGTGCTGCCCGGCCCGGCCCCTTGCTGCCCACCCTCCCTGCAGCCCCTGCCTGCGGCCACACTTACGGTTTCCCTCCAGGGATGGTGGAGAGTGAAGATGAGATGGTGGAAGCCCTCAGGTGAGGGTGCGACTCAAAAGCCACCTGCACATAGCAAAGGGCACATGATGAGCCAAGTGCCAAACCCCCAGGAGGGGACACGGAGGATGGCGTCATG